GAAGAGACCTGAGGTATCCAAGACAAATCACCTACTTCTAACTATGATTCTATCTGGTTGACCCTGCTTGAGGTTGTTCTCCAAGTGAGGACAAACTTCTCCTGTATACAAATACAAACAATAGGAACGAAGAAAACTTCACTTTTCATAGGGCTTCTACTGTTATTCAAATCAACAATTTCCATCCACCTCCAGTCTCCCACTAATGGCTTCATGTAATAGAAACACACTCTTTATTAGCTGCCATATTCAATATCTGTTCAAATGTCCTTTCATGGGTCTTTCTGGATCTATATTAATTTATTTCCATTTGCAAATCTATGGGCTATGAGGTGACATGTTTTTATAAGAAATTGGTGCCAAGCCCTGCATATGGATGGCAAATACATTCTTTATTCAGAGGTGAATTTACATCACCAACTGTTGCCACTCACTTCTTTCTTCTATCAGAAAATGTACCTGGCAGAATTTCAGGTGGATTAGGTTTCACCTACTTGTCCATATCCAGGAATTTACCTTCCCTCCAGTCTATATTCTTTGTGGAGCATGTTGGATTCCAGTTATATGACAGAAGTTTCATCTTTTGTTCTGACATAATACTATGGATAATGAGGCTCCCAAATTCTCCATGGAATGGAATGAGTTCTCAATAAATTGGATTAGTGAAATGAATAGTTACAACTCTTTTAAAAAGAGTTCAACTTCATCTTGTGTTCTTAGAAGCGCAAGAAACTGCCAAGTTAAAAAAAAAAGTAATCTTCCAGTGGGGCTATTACTCCAACTCAAAATATTCTTTTAGAATTTGTGTCATATTTTGAAGGGTTAATCAGCCAAAAAGTGATTGAATAGAGACAACAGGTATAAAACCTGTGCTTAGGTGGTTGACAGAGTTTTGAAAATGTATACTTAGTTCACAACAGAAATAACAGAAATTCTCTATGAATTCAGCCCTGGAATTTTACTCTATATACATTTTTTTCTTGTCTTTTTTTTTCTTTCCTTCCTTCTTTCTTTCTTTCCTTCCTTTCTTTCTTTCTTTCTTTTTTTCTTTCTTTCTTTCTTTCTTTCTTTCTTTCTTTCATTTGAACAAATATATTTAAATTCTTTCCAGCTTCTGAGTCCAATAAATAAACCCTGTTCCCACCTGGGATGCATCCAGATACTTCATTCTTTGCTGAAATTCATTTTAAGCAACAGATGTATCATCTATCTGGTGTTTGAATAAAATCCAGCCCAGGATAAATAAGCATATCCCTTTATATTATTTCCAAGTCTCACTAAATGTGCAGTACTGTGATGATGTTATCTTCTCTGGTGGCTCTCCTCACTTTCCCTCAGAAGAGAATTTTGTGACCAGGAAGTCTTCATTGACCTTAGAAAAGCTTTTTCACCTACTGTCTTTTCAACCCTCTCCTCTAGCTGTGAATATTAGGAATGTCACATAAATGCATCAGAGTTGGGAAGACAACAATGGTGACTGAAGTACGCATATTATTTTAATTTAGAAAATATGCTCCAGGTTAACCCCACCCCCACAAATACAAAGGTGCCTGTTTAATTAAACAATTCCATTAGGAAAACAACTAAATTCTTAGGCAAAATACCATCGCTAGTGAATGTTTTTATTAATGAAGATAGAAACCTGTCTAGACACAAGCCCTTCCACTGCATCATAAAGGGCATCCTGTGTGAATGTAATGGCACTGAGAAGGGAACACACTTGAAAGCTGCAGGTGGGAGGCCCCTTCTATGACCCAGGCTGCAGAGAAGGGGTTTCAGTGAATCAAGAGACACTCATGATGAAGTTTCATGGCCAGAACCAATCTCTTAGGCACCATTATTTTGCACTTTGAAGAGTCATGCTCTGTGCAGAGGTCTTGAGGTTGTTATGGATACACCCTGAAAATGAGAAGTAACTGCTTTGGAAGCACCAGGGATCTCCAGGGGAGCCCTTTTACTACAATGAAAGTGGTGCTGGTGGTTGTAAAGGGATGAGTTCTCTGTGCCCTGTGCAGTAGCGGTCTGGCAGATGGGGAGTTTAAGTTGTGTGCAGTGGCAGCATGATTTTTACAGGAATAGTTTCTTATCTAAAAGGCATTTTTTCCTGGCTCCACTGTTCCCAGTTGTGTAGCATACAAGTTGTATAGCATACAAGCCTCTAGTCCTCATGGAGATTATATGAGCTGGTTAATGTTCTGCAGTAAGTTCCTTGCTGCTTAAACCTGCTTAAATCATACAGAATGGATCTTACTGTTTGCAAATCAGAACCTTGACCTATGCAGGGCTCCTCTCTCCTACTCAATATTCTCAAACAAACAAACAAATGTCAGGAATTTCTTTAAAGAATATGTTTCCTTGAATGAAGATGAAAGATGAATGGTTTTTGCAAAGAACCAGAAATTCAAGGGAAAAAAAGGAAAAAAAATTCAAGTAAAGAGACTAGATAGACACAGCACTCTGTATATAGACACAGAAACAGGAGAATGCCAAAGGTTATCCCAAATGTCTGCAACAGATATGTACTAAAAAAAGCTTTTACCCAAAGCCTTGCACTATATCAGAAAGCCAGAAGGAAAACAGAAAATAAAAGCACAGAGACTTCAGTACCTGATGTAAGGCAAACAACTCTGAGCTAAGAATCAAGAGTATTGAGGTTTAGAATCATCACTTTCAGGAACTAATTATGTGACTTTGAGCAAGTTGTGTAACATTTCTGAGACTGTTTCTTCATTGGTTCAATGTAGTGGTTGGATTAAATGACTGCTAAGACCTCTTTGAGCTATAAATCTCCACAGTCTAGAAAGAGGTACAGTGTGTTGAAAATAGAGATATAGAAGCAGACATTTCCATATTAGTTCCACAAACACTGCCCTTTAATCATACATTTGCATATATTATGTACATAAAAATTATAAATTTTTCGTCAATTTGACTTTCGAGAATCTAAGAAGAAAAATTTGGGGCAAGCAATATTGTTTTTGAATCAATTATAAAAGCTCACCCTTTAAAAGATAAACACAATTAGTGTATAGTCTTTCCCCATTCTTCTACCTCTGCCCCTTGAGAAGAAAAATCTTCCCAAACATTTGGAGTGAGTGAGGATGGCTAACAACTGCTTGTTGAAATGCTGATGGTTCACACTTGATGATTCCCAAAGTAACATCAGTATGGCTTGCAATGGACTTATTTGATTGTGGAAAAACTGTGGTCATCGCATTGTCTCTGCTTGTTTCCAGACTCAGGTGTTAAAACTGATAACATTTTGAAGACTTACAGATCTTTCACTCTTATAATCTGCCTGACATTTGCATTCTTACTACAATATCCCTGCCAAAAGGTGGACCAACTTATGCCTAGATATCAATGGTGGAGAGTCCTTTCAGGAACATTTTGTATCACCAAATCAAATTATTTCTCTCTGTAGTTAATGACTCTGTTAATGACTACCTGTTAATTCTTTTTCTGAAAACATTTGAATTTGCAACTACAACTGAACTCAAAATTGCAGATGTGGTCTTTAGAACACACAGGGACTTCCTCATTTTGACATTATTAATACAGACTATAATTTTATTAAACTTATGAGGTATACTCATTAACTTCACTTTTATCTATAGTTAAAGTATTTATTAAGCTTCTTAGCCTTCACTTCTTTATCTTGTAGTTATAAGATGCATTTTGACCCAGATGAAACATCTTACATAATTTCATTATATTTGTTTTAATAAATTTTATTTACTTTTTAAAAATAACTCTTATTAAAAATATAAATGTATATTACGTATACATGAAGAAAAACATCTATAAATCACCTAAAAAGCAGCTATAAATTATCCCAAATTTCAATATCCTAGAATGCTTTGTGATATTTGTTTAACATGATTCCAAATATATATATGTGTATGTGTAGTTGAATAAATAATAGCTATATATATTCAGAAAAAAATTAATAGAAGTATAGTCATACTATGCATACTATTTTAAAATCAACAATATAAAAATATTTTTGAACTTTAAAAAGGAAAAGAATTACATTTGACGTATTGCTTTATATAAAGACAACTTCTTCTAAAGTTAGGAAAACGAAATAACTTTTAGGAGTGGAAGCCACATGAATTTTTTAATACATGTTTTAATTTTAGGCAGCATCAATTAAATTACTGCTTTAAAATATTATATGGGGGTGTTATAGTTCAATCCTCAGTACCTCCGTTAAATATATAAACCCCACCCCCTGAAATAAAATATTATATGAAAAGACAAAACTATGGAACAGTAAAAGATCAGTGTTTGTCAGTGGGCAGAGGGGAGGGATATGAGAAGGAAGAATAAATGAGCACAGAGAATTTTAAGGGCAATGAAACTATTCTATATGATTCCATAATGGGGAATGCATATCATTATGTTTGTCAAAACCCATAGAATGTACACCAAGAGTGAACCCTAATGTAAATTAGGGACTTTAGTTAATAGTAATCTATCAATATTGGCTCATCAATTGTCACAAATGAACCACACTAATACACAGATGTTAAAAATAATGGAAACTGTGTATTTAGTGGGAGGAGTATATTAGAATACTCTGTGCTTTCTGCCCAATTTTCTTGTAAACCTAAAACTACTTTTTTAAAACAGGACATTAATGAAAAATAAAAACTAACCAATAAAAATAAATCTAAAACATTTAAAAAATAAAAGTAGATTACGTATCCTTCAACTTAAAATTATATATCTTTACCCTAATTCTGCTTTAAGTCTAAAGAATTTATAACATCTATATTCTTTTCTTATTGAAGTATAGTCAGTTTACAATGTTGTGTCAATTTCTGGTGTACCGCATAATGCTTCAGTCATATGTGAACATACATATATTCATTTTCATGTTCTTTTTCATTGTAAGTTACAAGATATTGAATATAGTTCCCTGTGCTATACAGTATGAACTTTTTGTATATCTATTTTATATATATTAGAATCTGAAAATCTCAAACTCCCAATTTAAAAATACAGAACACTTCACAAATTTGCGTGTCATCCTTGCGCAGGGACCATGCTAATCTTCTCTGTATCATTTTAATTTTAGCATGTGTGCTGCCGAAGCAAACACTATTCATAGGTTTTATGTTTAAATAAATTCACTGCTCACACTCAGTCCTTTCTTCATCCATTCCCAAATTGGGTTCTTTATTTTAAATAACATTTTAGTTAGTTAGATTTTATTTTCAAGAGGAACTAACAGGTGTGAGGTTTCTTAATATTGTTCATGTCTGAGAATGAAGGTTCTCTGCCTTTATACTCTCCCAACAATTTGGCTGACATTAAGATTCTTGAGTCAAATTTTCTCAGATTTGGGGACAATTATACTTTGTCTTTGAGAACTGAGCATCACTAGAGAGAAAACTGAGCCAGCCTGATTCTTCCCACTTGAAGATGACTTATCTTTTTTGAAGTTCAATAACTAGAATATGTTGATATCTAACTTTCTCTTGAAATTAACTTTGACATTCAGTAATTAGAATGTGTTTTGGTATGCAACTTTCTGCTTCAATTTTTCCTGGAACATAATGCAAAGAAAAATTTAGCCCCTTGTTTCAAGAAATGAACAATATAATTTAAGTCTACATATATTTCTTTTTACATTTATTACAGCTTCTACTTTGAGGATCACATGATATCCTTGTGTTAGGTAATTTTAATCTGTCACACATATATGTCATCTTCTTTCTAATAGCCTTGATTTGTCTGTTTCCTTATAGCCTGTGAAAATCTTTAGAGCTCTTGAATCTGTCATTCAATACTATCTATTCCTTCATATTTGATTTTCTTCATCCTTAAATTGGATGAGCATACCTTCTATATCTTCTCCAAGTCATGATAAATACTGGTTAAGACAGAATCCTGCAGTAAGCTTAGATGCTTTGATTTTAAAAAATTGATTCAGTTGGGTGAATTGTAACTTAAACAGTACCATATTATCCCATCTTTTGTTTAAACACAATGTTATAATGGTAGATTTTGTCACACATCTTCATAAAATTTAGATTTCCATCGATTGCTTTTCTCTGCCTTGTTAATCAAATAATCTTATCAAAATAGGATTTTGTCACTTTTTGGTGAACCCCTAGTAGTAATCTCTGCTTTCACTCCCAGGTGCTCACCAACTATTTCTTCACTAATGCTTCCTAAAAGCTTACTTGAGATTGACATCACCTTATTAGTTAGTATTTTATAGAAATGACATCTTAGTCTTTTTGATAACCCGAAGATATCTCCCCATCTTGAGTCTTCCAATAGTATTTCCATTTGCTGTGATCCTCAAAGGTCACTAGCAGAGGTTAACAGTTTCAGAAGTTTGTTCTTCATTTTCTCTAAAAAGCAATGAGCTCAGGCCAGGAAATGAAGACTCATTTTGATTAACCATGTCATAAAGGTATGAAGAGAAAATTCAGATTTTGAATCTGCCTCTGAAACGTAGTTTGTTGTCTGGTACTTGTCTCCCCAGTAAGCCAGAAACTCTTTGAGGACAGTGGCAGTTTTTCACTCATTATATTGTCCTCAGTGCTCAGCACAGTGCCTGACACACCACAAATACTCAATAACTAGTTGTTGATTGAATGAGTTAAAAGTAGTTTGGAAATATGAAAGGTAGGCCTTTGTGGATTGGGCTAGCTACTGACCAATCAACCATCACAGCATTATTTCTCTAAATGAATTATTTTCCCTGTTATAACCCAGTTATATCCCAGTTTTCACATATGATTCATTATTCTTTTGAATATTTTCTTAGATTTGTTTGGGGGATTTTCACAGGGGAAATTCTGTTATTTCATAATCTTTACTTGAACCCAGGGACCAACCAGCAGTATAAAGACAAAAGGGATGAACAAGTGACAAAAGAGGAACTAATGATAATTCAGAAAATTACTGGGCATTATTTGGTGAAAGATTATTCTACTCATGTGAAGCATTATGCTAACTTTGAAGACAAACCTAAACACAAAACTTGGTTGCTAACTAGGCTCACTGGGCAGCCAAACTCCCTCAGGCCAGGGAACTTGGGTTGTGCGTGACTTCTCAACATCCAATGTTACTTTTTTATGACCTTTAATCTTGGTGTTATTAATCTTGGCTCTGTTAAAAACGGGCCCCCATGTAGTGTTCATGAGTGCCTTTTGGTGAATACAAATTGCAGCAATGATCCTAAAGGGACATAGCTGTGGGCACCACAGGCATGTCTTCTTTTACTGCTAGTTGCAGACATTTGGAATGAGATTTCAGAATAACCTCATTTTGTCTAGAAACTGAAGTTGGCCTCCTGCAGATCGCCTTCCTTCTGTCTGGTTTCTAAGAACAGGGATTAATCTGGAATCTTCATCACTTGTATCTCCTCTGATAATATCAACACAATGTATAAGTTCCAAAGTTCTGTCCTGACAGGCATGAGAGAAGAAAATAAACCATAGAAAATTTATATACCCTTCATAAGAAAAGGTTACCGACTGGCAATTCAGTAGAAAAGCTGTAGGACTTAATTCTTCATTCCCATTCAGGTACTCATTCATCTCTCAGTAGCAAATGGAAAATATACTTTATGCACAACCTCAGACCACAGCTCCTTCTTGTACTGAAACAACCTGTTCCGCTGATTAGAAAACCAAATAGCTACTATAGACTGTCTGTCTGCTTTGCCAAATGGTGAAGAATATTTGAGTCTTAAGAATCCACTGCAAAAGGGAATCTTGCAGCCAGCCACAGGAACCTTTGTTATCTCACAGGAGGCCTATTTCCAAACCTGAGAAATCAAAAGCCACCTGTGGCACCTGCTGAATGGGATGGAATTATTTGGAAATGCAGCTGCAAGGAAAATAAATCAGCTTGATGACACCACCAAGGCTCTGCATGGGAGTGTGAAATTAGTAGAAAATGTTGAGAGGTCTAGACAAGTTGTTGAAAGAGGATATCCACAGAGTTTGCCAAAACTGTATGAAAAAAAAAAACAGTGTAGAATATCTCTTTTTATTAATATTGCTATTTTTGTGCTCTGGGAAGGCAAAAAAGCTAAATTCAGTGACAAAGTTGATAAATTATAGAATATACTTTAAAAAATGAAGCTTTGTTTCTTTCAGAACAATTATCTCATAGCTGCCAGACCTGCTGGTGTAAACAGACGTGGCCATTCACCAGGCCCATATTAAGGCACCTGAACTTCCTTAAGTACATGCATGGTTCCTCCTCATTGCTCTACACACCATTCTTTCCCATCAACAGGGATTTTCCAATGTCTGGATGATCACAAAGCCCAAATAAAGAAGGCCTAAAGCATGAAATGGAACTGTAGGTGTCATTGTTGCCAATCCTTCCATATTTTAAACGGTTACAGGTCAAGTGTTACAAGCCTGGCCTTTCAAGAATTTACCTTGAATTAGTTATAGTTAAATTGAGATTTTAAATTTGGGAAGTGCCTTAATTCAGTCTTAATTCAAACAGGTACATGATGCAAGACTCTCAATCCGAAAAAGCAGGTGTCCCACTTCTGTTCAAATTTCTATTCGTGCCAGGAAATGTACTTTTCTCTTTTGATTGTTACCATTTGTCTTCACATTGAGCCAAAGTGTTATTTTTATAAGCAAGGCATTGTTCCAGATGTTTTAGAGATAGCTCTGTTGATCCTCCCAACACTATGAGGTAGACAGTAATAGCTCTATTTAACTGAAGCACAGTGAGGTTAAGTAATGCATCAGAGCATACCTAACTAGTAAGGGGCAGAGCTGGGATTCAAAATAGGGTGGCCTTGCCCAAGATGCTATGCTTCCAAGCACCATGCATATTGCCAAAGTCTGTCACTCTCTAGCTTTGAGATGCACTGCCATACTGCTCTTTCTATCAATATCTGGCACTGCTTTTAGTAAATTCTGTAATTACACAGGAGTTATATGCAAATTAAACAATTCTGAAAGAAGATGAAGGAGAAGGAGCAAGCACAAAAGAACATTGCTTGCATTTTTGAAAACTAAACACCATTTATTTTCTTGTCAAGATTATAGGATGAAAGTTAGCAGGAGGAGGATTTCAGCTCAACATGAATGAGCAAATAAAATTTACCTTATTAATATTTATTAATTTATTTTATTAACATTAATATTCTCTGGTCTGCAAAAGTATAATGAATCACTTGAGGAGTAGATAATCTCCCCTTCACTGAGGTTTTCTAAGCAGACTTGGAAACAATAAGCCAAGGGTTGCTGCTGAGAGGATCCCTGGATTTGGTGGTGAATTGGGCTCAGTGACCTCAAAGGTTCATATGATATAGTTTTCACAGAAACACACACACATGAGGTAGCCAGAAGGTATTTCTTACTTATTATCATGCTCCAAACATGCCAGATTTGATGTGGCCTCTATAACATTTTGTTATTCAGAGTTCATTGGGATATCAGAATTAGAACAAACCAAATTACTCCTCAAATGACAAAAGGTTAAGGCAGATGAACAATGTAATATTTTGGTAGCCCTTGGAGCACAACAAACTGGACAGACTTCAATAGTGTCTTCGATTTATGAGATGTAACAAAACTCTTCTAAAATTTCATTTTTAGGAACTCCTACTACTGACCCAGCTGCAGTAGCTGATATGTCTTACTGGGCATCAGGACATTGTAGTGGCACAGGCCCTATTCAGGAATTTTCCTGAATTCTGGGGTTCTGGGGGGTTCAAGTTCTTCTTAAAGTGCTGAACTTTTGACAAAGTATTGCCTGAAATACATTCTTATTTTTCCTCCATTTGTCTCTCAAAGAGATGGTTTAGATACATTTTGGAATTACAATAGAATGTTAGATTTAACTTAGATTTGACACCAGGTTCAATATGTCCCGGGGTGAAAAGAGCTGTTCCTATTCTATGGATTTAATTTAGAAAGGTCAAGGGTAATTCAGCCAAAGGCATAAATTCCTATCTTTAATTGAAATACTTCTGCAAGGGAATGCTAAGAATCCAACCCTCAGTAGAAATTCACCTTTGAAAAGAAAGATTTTAAAAGGGAAGTCCAGAATTTCCAGTAGCAGGTTTGGATCAGTTCTTATTTAAATGCTATAGTTAATTTTTAATTG